CCCAACTTTGCCTGCATCCCGTCCCTTTGCTGTCCCGTCCCCCCTGTTAGATGGTCATTCGTCCTCCTGCACTCTGAGCTGTCAAATCTCGCCTGCTGTGCCGACGGACAAATTCAGCACCACAGCTCTGTCTTTATCCCCCATCGGGGCTCTTGAGGCTTCAGGGTCCAGCTGAAAGGGAACAGGCGCAGGTTGCAGGAACAGGGGCATTCGGCTTCGAGGCAATCACTTCCGTTGGGCGACGGCTGCACATCCCGCCTCCCTCACGACACTCACTCAGGCAGATCTTTTATTGGTATTCTTCAAACTCAAGAAGGGACAGCCACTCAAGAACAAGCATTCAAAGGCTCGAGGGACCGCCAGACGCAGTCCGAACTCGTCCAGTTCCTTCTGCTTTATCCTCTTCTTCCGCCCCCAAACCAACCCGGCCCTTGATCTGCTTGCTGCCCGCCTATGCTTCCACGCTTCTTTGCACGAATACCCACACACACGCACACAGACACCCGGCAACCCCTTCTCCCCCGGCTGATCGCGTGTCACGAGAGCGACAGACATTGGAGACGGAGAGAATAAAAGGCGGATCAGGCATGGGAGTTACCGCTGGCGCCGCCCTACCGAAGCAATTGAATTGCTGAATTTCCCCATTATTACCCTGCTGCCCCCAGTCGCCCAAATCCACAGTTCCACACTTAGGTTGCGCACCTCTCACCTACGAATACGTACTCGGTAGTACCCAAGGCAGGCAGTCCAGCCCAACCTCTGCACCGAAGGCACCTTACGTTCCCTCCCGATACCTTACTATAATACTAAGGTACATCATCAGAGTCACAGACCGCACCTCAGCATCTTGTACCCGCAATACGGTGCGGTACCGATTACCTACTCTCACCTCACCGGCACATCCACCCAAGAACCCGCTCTGAAATCAGTCACTGGTTGGTACGGATACCTTGCCCACCCGCTAATAGACTGCCTCCGAAATTCACTTCTGTCCGGCTGACCATCAAGTACCTTGCCCTGTAGCGCTTGCCCCAAGGTTCCCTTTTTCGTCGCCCTGGTCACCTCTTGCTCCCCGTCCTCACTGCGTCTCCGTTAGGTCTGCCTCTCCGCAGCGGTGCACCTGAGGTACGAAGTACACACATCCATAGGAGACGACTCATCCCATTTTACAATAACCACCCCATCGCCGCCGCCCTTTCTCCCGCTCTCCGTCTTCTATCCTCTCCCTCGCGACTCAAAAAGCTCTCAACAAGGAAACAACTTTCATGCATCGGGCTGGTCATGCCGTGATCTGGATCGCGATTCCGACTCACCACCAACTCTCGTCTCTCCCTCGATACAGAGCTGGACGCTATTGAACCGGTACCTTGCATCCGAACCTTACAAGTAAACACACACACACATACACAACTACACTCCCATCCACGAATACAACACCCGCACCAGTGGAGCACTTGTTCCTGATTCACCCAAGGAACGGACGACTCTCCGCCACCAAACCAAATTACCAGACCACGATCATTGCGCGGATCTTTGCATCTCGACATTCTCCCCCAGGGCGGATTTTCGACGAATCGATTGCTAGGTAAATTCCAATTCGGCTTCGCTCTTTGGCATACCTCGCTGTGGAATTCACCATCCCCCAAGAATTTCCCACGGCCGAGGTATCCCCAAGACCAAGGCACAACGAGGCGCTCGCCCTGAGAGAGAGCAATTGCGCTAACAAGCCATCCAACAGCTTTTGCGTCATCCCTCCTGCACGCACGCTGCAACTGCGCTTCGCTCACTCCCTGCCGGCAAGCCCCCCCAAGACATCCATCCCACCACCGGTGTCGATGCTCCTTACCTGGGTCTCAACCCCCAGCTGCCTCCTTCTTTCTCAAGAGTCTTAATCATGTTCGCCTCCGACTCTTTCCTGCCATCGGCCTTTACCGACCACGATCCCAACATGCCGCCCTCTGCCGTCATCTCTCCGTTGTCACTCAATCGAATGGCGAGCTCCTGTTACTTCGATAATAGATCAACGACGACGACAACAAGTGCCACGGGCAACTCCATTTACTCTCCCCAATCATCCGGCGCTGTGCGCTATCCGCCGCAAACGCAAAGCCTTCTTTCACCCCATTTACACACCAACGGCGTCAACGGCACAAACGGCTTTAGAGAGACGATTTCGAACGACCAGATACCAAGGGTCGTCTCGCCGACTCATTTCGAGCATTTCAACAGCCACAACCCCTCCGCGTTTGCATCGACGGCCAGAGTCTCTCCCAACGGAATGCCCCATCCACGATCGGTTTCTGCCGATGCAGCCTCGGCTCCTGCGTCTGCACAAATTATTAGACGGCTCGCTCAGCAAAATGCGCGGATCCGAGAGGCCTGGGAAGCCGAGCGTAAATACATGGAAGCCAACCGCGAACGTGTAGAGGAAGTCTACAAGGAGGAGCGGATGATTATGGAAGACGAACGTCTTGCATGGGAAGCCGAGAAGAACGACCTGACGGAACAGATTCGCCGCCTCAAAGAACAAGTTGCAGCGATCGACAATGACAAGATTCGGCTGCAAAGTGCGCTGCAAAGAGCCGAGCTAGAGAAGGCGGGCAAAGTCGCCGGCGTCACTGTTGCAATTCCAGGAACAGGAACGCGAGGTGGGGCCGACGGCTCCACTGAACTTTCTTTCCCAGGATTCTCCTCGCAATCCAATGACGCGCGGTTCGGCCTCTCGAACGGCACTGCACAGCGGAGGCCAATCAATGGCTCTTCCTCAGCCTCCGTCTCGCCAGCCCAGATCCGATCTCACTTTATTAGTCCTGGCAGTTCCCGGATTTCTCCCTCCAGGCAACCAGAGTCCTCGCCATTCATCCCGCTCAACCCCAACATGCAGCCCACTACCGCCGATCCCGTCGACTTCCTCGGCTCTCCAAAGGACGAGGAGCCCGTCCCCATTGTCGACATTCAAATCATCAACCCTCAGCTGGAGGGCGTCCCCCTCAAGGCACCCGCTATTCAGAAGAGCACATTCATCGACTCTGGCATGACCCCTCCGGAAAACTCAAAGAACTCCTCCAGAGCTGTTTCCCCGCCCGGAGAGTCTGGCAAGTCAAGGCGAAGCCCTACTCAGGAACACACACTCGAGGTGCTCGCTGCTCCCGAGCCTGCCAGACTCGTAATGCACGCCGGCCATACGCCCAGCCACTCCCTCTCCGTCCTGGGAACAGCTCCTGGCACAGAAGTTGCGACAGTTGCTGATGGTAGTGGAGGCTCTACACCGACCTTGGCACCAACTGACATGAGCTCGAACCCGGCAACGCTGTATGATGTCAGGGCCAGAGCAGACTCATCTGATCTTCAGCATGACGCTTACGGCGGTACCGAAGAACCCCTCCCCACGTTGGAGGCGGCAGACGACGTTGCTCTGAAGGGCCCCTTGATGGTTCGCAACATTCCTGCTCATGACGAAATCTTCTTCAAGCGTTTGTCCGAAAAGCTTGAAGATGTGAGCAGCGGCGCCGATGCTGTGCCGACTTGCATGAAGGCGCCAACTCCGGAACTCGTCGAAGAGCCTTTGGAGGCGAAAGAGAACCTTTACGTAGCGAAGGCAGATACGGATGCCGCCAGCGACAAGGGTTCGACCAGCGACAGAGCTTCTTCCTCCGATAGAGACGACGTCTCCGAGTCGCAAAGCAAGCTCGAGGAAATCGACATTCCCCTCAAGCTCAAGCAGAGCACCAACTTTGGAGCTCCCTTGGGCGCCATGTTCTAAACGTCGCAGAACCAATTTTCGACGACTCTTCTTCGCAGGAGCCAGCTCTCCTCATCACTACAGCCGAAACCCGCGCATAGACTTTTCATAATCTCCGATCCCATTCTGCACATACGATCCGCCTCTCTGTACAAAGTTATGGACTTTCTACACTCACTTGGCTTTGGCTTTTCACAATAGACCAGCCCCTTGACCTCTTTTCCTATGTATATCCCCACACGGTGGGCGGCTTGTTTTTCAATTCCCCGGCGATAGACAGGATGACTGGAAGGGTTCCCTCAGTGCTCCACGGAGCAGCATCACTCGATTTTTCTCATGGAACGGATTTCACGGTGTTTACACAAAAATGCACAATACCCCCCGGAGGATTGGAATTCCTTCTCACGAATTGGCTTGGTTTTTTTTTTTTTTCTCAATGGATACGGTGCCGATGGAGGCGCATACACCTAGGTACGGGGGAGAAGCGGCAGCAGGAACAAATCGACGCGATAGACGTCGTATATGAGAGGCACTTCGGAGTTTATTCCTAAGCCGATCCATCAGCAGATGACAATGCAACAACTACATAGACGGCCGGTGCGTGATGTCTGGAGGTTGGTTGCAAGAAGCGATGTATAGGCATAGCCGAACAAGAAATAACATTGCTATCACGGTCACTGACCGTTATTTGTCAACGCACGTGTTGTTCCCATTCTTATGCCTGTGATTGCAAGCTGGTGTGACCAAATCGCCACAAGGAGTGGGTTTGTGTGAGAAGTTGACTGATTCAATCTTGAGTGTCCAAACAATGGTATTAAATTTGATGTTGATATAGCTTATGATATGCATTCTCCTTCCTCTTGTCCCTTTCTCCTTTCCCCTTTCCCCGTTCCCTATATCGCAGGCGGCAGGCCAGCAACCCCCATTCGGAGACAAGCATTATTCATGAACCTGCTAGTGAACCTCGTCTGATAGTCTTCTACATCGACAACCCAGTGTCCTCTCTCTCTCTCCCTGAGTTCCCCTCTAGCCCTTTCCCTATTCGTGGACGAATACTGCCTTGAATTTGACAAAGTTATTCTTTTGATATCATTTGCATGGCCTCAAGGTCTCGTAAGGAATTAGGTTATTAGTGGCTGGTGTTAGGCAGCCAGAGAAGGGAGGGCGGGGAACGTTGTCCGAGGTAAATCATCACCATGCTTTGTCGATTTCCCTCTCTCTTTGTTTTTTTTTTACTTTCTTTTCTTTTGTTCCCCCTTCAAATCCTCGCAATCAAATCATCCAAAAGCTCGCCCGTCTCGCCGGGACTCGCGATCCAGGCCGTGGTACCCACGCTCCGGGCCTTGAAGTCGTTGCTGCCGGCGCTGAGGAACTGGTCGCCAATGTGCAGCGTCTTCTCGCCGGCGATGGGGGTCTCCGGGTGTCCCGCCTTGGCGGCGAACCAGCGCTGGCAGACGGTCACGCCCCACGACTTGTCGCCGATGTCGACGAAGACGTCGCGGCCGCCGTTGAAGGCGCAGAAGGGGACGCGGCGGCGGGTGGTGGTGGCGGCAGCCGAACCGTCCCTTCCATCAGTGGCAGAGGCGGAGGATGTGATTGTGCTGTGGCCGGCTGCTTGGGCGGGGGATCCTAGCGCGGAGAGCTCGAGGATTTTCTGGACGACGAGGACGGTTTCCTCGAGAGACTCGCGCGGGATGCGGACGGCCGGGTCGGTGGCGACGATGCCGACGGCGCGATCTTTGCGGAGGAGGGTGGCGGGGAGGTTGAGCGTGCGGATGCACTCGAGCAGGGCGCCCTCTGCGACGTCGAGGAGCGCGGAAATGTCGGCGTCGGACCAGGATGCCATTTCGGGCGTGAGCCACTGTTCCTGCGGGACGGGGGCTAGCAGGTGCGGGGAGGACGGGTCGTATTCGAAGAGATAGTTTGCTTCGCCGCCCATGATGACGATGGAGGCCTTTTGGGTCGGGGTTAGGTCAGGGGAGGCGGCGATGGCGTCGAGGAGGCCGTGGAGACGGTCGTAGTAGCGGTCTGCTGTCGTGTAGCCTGCTGCTGTGACGATGCCGATTTTGATGTCGCGGCGGAGGAGGGAGAGGAGGCGGGGAATAAGGGGGGAGGTTGGGAGGAGGGATTCGCCGTCGTCGTAGAGGGTTACGTCTCCGTCAAAGGTTGCGAGTTGGAGGGAGGCGGCAGGGGAGGTGGTGGTGGAGGATGGGTTTGGACTAGGGCTGGGACTGGTGACGGCGAGGATCTGGGCGGCGTTGAGGATGAGGCGGACGTCGTTGAAGGAAGGGGAGACGTAGCGGCGGGAGGAGATGAGGCGTTTTGCGTCCATGAGGGTGAAGGCTGCTTCGAGGGGGAGGCGGGTGAAGAAGGGCCCTGCTGACGGGACGAGCATTTTTAGTTTTGAGGGGAGGTCTTCGTCTTGACGGGTTACTGTGGGGGTGTTAGTTTTGGTAGCTTGATTCATAGGGAAGGGAAGCGAATGAGCTGAATTCAGTGAGATGAGACTGGAAGTAGCTTACTGTGGTCGTCAATCATGTGCTCAACGTCGCGAAAGATTTCGGCGTAGCGGCGGTGGGATTCCTCCGCCATGCGGGCTATGCTCGTCGCTCTCGTGTCGAAGACGCCGGTGGGCTGAGAGTAGAGGACGAAGGGGACTGCCAGGAGACCTTTGATCCATTCTGGAAGTGAGGGTTAGCTAGTTGCCGGTTAAGAGAGAGCTTGGTCGGGAGGCTTTGGACATTGCGGTGGTTGTGAGGTGGCCAATGACGATAAGCTGGGAAAACAACGGGACAGCGACTTCGCTGCCGACCAGATTCTTGATCATCGCCACTCTTCCAGGCTTCACTGGAGTAAGAGATCTGTTGTTGCCGAAGCTGTAATATGAGTCTCCTGACACTTGTCATGAGACTCGATGAGCTTGGCGGATGCTGTCATACCTATGAACTGATCTCGTCTGTGGGTCTTGAGAGCATCTGCACGAGCGTTAGTTGGTGAGGTTATCTCAATGTAAAGATTGCAGTATGTTTTGCTTACACTCTACCCTGTATCTTGTCGTCATGATGGGCTACCTTCGGATTCGAGGTTGAGGTTGAGTGACGGCGAGGTTGAAGATGGCGGGGCGAGGAGGGGTAACGGCTATTTGAAGGGGTAGCTGGTTGGTATCACTGTCTTTTAGTCTGGTATCAAATCTGTGAGATTATGAGACTCCCAAAGAAGAAGTGAAGCTTTACAAGTTGTGTATATGGAAGAAGGTTGAAGCAGTATCGAGAAGCAGAGAGAGAGAGAGGTTGTAAGAAGGAATGCAGTCAGAGTCTCCGTGGTGAGTAACGAAGTGATGTTGAATTCCACCGCCCCATGGAGCTCGTGGGATCCACTTTTCCCCAACTGAGGAGTTCTAAGGTGCAGGGCCCCGGTGGTCGGGTGGTCCAGATTCGGGGGAGAGCTGCACCTGTCGCAGGCGGAATGCACCAGTGCCAGGGGTGCGCTGCAACGCTAACATCTACCGGAGGCCGCCGCTACCCGGCTGGCTCAGTTGTAAATGTTCAGGGTTCACTGGGAGAGATTGGGGAAACGCAACTGCTTGGACCCCGCTTTGGGGGTGTATTCGTACCTCACGGTTCGTGTCTGTGACTCCTGCGGTTGTGGTTTACCTAATAGTTGGATTTCGAGTATCACGGAACATGGATTCTGAGCGAGAGTCGGAAAGACTGTGAGATTGATAGCGTGCTTCGCCGGCTTCATTTCCGTCGCTCTGGCTTTCTCCAATGGGGGATCCACACAATGAGTAGTTGAGTCACTGATAGATAGACTCGCGAGGCCTTGTGCGTATGCCGTACGGATCTAGCACTGCGTAAATTGCGTTGCTCCAACCTCGGTATCTACGTAAATATCACCAAGGTCACTGATAACTTATCAGAGTATACCTATTCTCACTACTGTCGTCACAATTGCTCAGCTCTTGTACAGAGGCAAACACTTGTACTTCAGATTACCCATTATCGCTGTTGTGTCTGCCAGGACAGTACTCAAGGTCATTCGGTGACATGGATGGCATAAAGTTGAGATGGTATAAACAGTAAACCGTGATCATCCCTTAGAAAGCGCTCAAGAACAAACAGCAAAGTCAAAATTGGGCGCCGAACAATTGAAGGAATAAGGCATCGCGTTCAATCATCACCTCAGAAAAGGCCAACATAGACTTCCCACTACAGGCAATCACCATTGTTGATTGGATCCATGAATAAAAGCAAGCACAGTTCCGAGTCAACATGTATCCCTCGTCTCTCCGTCTTCGCGGCACCACGTGGATGACTTTGCACAGCATTCATGGTAGAGCATCTAAAACCAAGCATCGTCTGGAATACTTGGCTCACGTTGCGCATTTCACGACCAACAAAAGTAACAAACTAAGAATGCCTCCCCAAAGGAAAACTGCGACTGGAAGGGAGGCGCGAGACGAAATGTTGAAGCGGCGGGGATGCTACTTTCTTAGTCGCACAAATCTCCATCGTTTGTCATCAGCTGAGCAGGATCGATAGCTCAGTGGTAGAGCGAGAGATTGCAGTTCTACGCAGTTATCTCTAGGCCCCGCGTTCGAATCGCGGTCGGTCCTGTCCTTTTGCCCATATCACGAACTTTAGTCCCTTTTTTGTCTTGGGCATCCATCCATAGGTATGAATTTTTGATATCTAGTATGCTCAGCGAGCCAGAAATCCAAGCTGGCGGGTGTGGTTTCTAGCTTTTGACGAGCATGAAGCAGTAAAGTTCATACAGCCCAAGGCTGGTTTGGCAAGCATCGTCACATTCAGACACACTTACGTCGGTATAAGCTATCCACCTAGCAAAACCTTCGTCATTTACAGAACGGCAGCGATATCTTTTCGCAGCGAATGCTGTCATGTTCACACAAGCATTACACCAGAAAATCACCAAACTCGGTCTGAGTCATGTTCCTGAAGCCTACATGTGAGCCTGAAATAAAAAATAATAATTATAAACCTCACGGATGAAGCCCTCATTCACCCTCGCGATAGGTCTAAGACGATATCGGAATAGAGACTCAAATCACTCTAATCCCGAGCGGAAAGCTTTGAGTGATGCTGAGTCAATTCAATGATGTGTCGTTCTACGCCCTAACAACCCGAAAGTATCTTCAAGGTTTACCGGGATACGGAAGACGCAAGACGATTGAATCCGAGGCTTCTTTTGCAGACCAAGCCAATCGCAAGCAACCACTTGTGAAGTTATCTGGCTTGAATGGAACTGAAGAAGAAGAGGCGAACGTTGTCAATAAGAGACCGGGCCAATCTTCTCGGCCCCGGAGCTCGTAGAACGGCCGCCCGAAGCACGTTCCGCAACGGAGTAGTCCGCTCCTGCATGGAGCTGGCGGAGTTCGGGCACCGCAATTTCGGTCGAAGTCTGGGTAAAGAAGACACGACGGTAGCGAATTTGAAAGTCGAGAGAGCTTGAATCAATGCAACACGTTATGGTTACATGGAGCTAAGGACCTTGTGTATCTTGCGACGAATGGGAGGGGTTCGCTTGGTAATTGGGACGGAATCGGGGGTGCGGGCGAGTGAAAGCCGACGAACAGCTTCGAGGAGACGTGGAGAGAGGGTGTGTAGTGATATCATATTTGAATGGAAGCGCAAAGAGTGAAGGGTTCATTTTTTCATTTTATAAAGAGGCTGCTTGGTCGATCTCGGGACATTGCTGGACATCAACTACTGACACCCAAACCACTCTTCAGATCAAGGAAACGATATGTTGCAATCCTTCAGCCTCGACGAGGCTCGGTGGTCTTTGATGCTGGTTCTGCCAGTCGCGGCGTTCTGTTCTGTAAGTTAGACCTTCTTGTTCAGTCACAACCCCATGGGCATATTTAGACGGACCCGAACTTACCCCTCACCCAGCTCATCGCATACCTCATAGGATATGCCGTCTACCAGCTCTATCTCAACCCCTTGCGCAGATTCCCCGGCCCAAAAGTATGGTCAATCTCCTCCATTCCCTACGTCCGCGAATTCATCGCCGGTACCTGTCACCTCGAAATCCTCAGACTTCATCAAAAGTACGGCCCCATCGTGCGGGTAGGCCCCAACCACCTCTCCATCAACCACCCAGACGGCATGGCAGAGCTCCGGGGCCACCGCAAGAGCTATACCGGCGAGAACGGCAAAGACCCCGTCAACGCCCTGCCGAACCGCGACAACATTCTCGGCTCCGAGCGCGGGGACCATAGCCGCTTTCGCAGGGCGCTGGCGCACGGGTTCTCGGCGCAGTCTATGCTTGCGCAGCAGCCTATTATCAAGGGGTACGTCGATACCCTCTTTGAGAAGTTGCGGGAGGAGGTATCGCGGGATGGTGACGAGGAGGCGGTGAATGTCGAAAAGTGGTTCAACTTTACCACGTTCGACGTTATTGGCGACTTGGCGTTTGGGGAGCCTTTTGGATGTCTTGAGGATAGCACGTATCACCCTTGGGTCGACCTCATCTTTAAGAGTATCAAGAACATGGCCATGTTGACGAGTTTTCGGCGTCTGCCGTGGCTGAAGCCGCTCCTCATGTTGACGCTTCCTAAGGAGCTAATGGGTAAGTATGCTCAGAACCGGAAGCTATCAAGGGAGAAGTTGCGGAAGAGATTGGAGCTTGGGAAGAGCCGGCCTGATTTTGTGGATGCAATGATCAGGAAGTCAGAATCAGCAGGACAAGTGAGTGCCGCCAATTCACTCAGAATGTTTCGAAAGAGACCAAAAATCAGCTAGGTGCTGCAGGCTGGTTACTGACATCCAAAACCCAGATCATGTCGTTCGAAGAGATGACCTCCAACGCCATGGTCCTTATCATCGCCGGGTCGGAAACGACAGCCACGCTGCTGACTGCGGCAACGTACTTCCTCGCAACCAACCCACACGTGTTAGTCAAGCTCAACGACGAGGTCAGATCGGCGTTCACGACGGAAGACGAGATCGACATGCTCAGCGTGCAAAGCCTGCCGTATCTCCTGGCCGTCTTGGACGAGAGCTTGCGAATGTTCCCGCCCGTGCCTGGTCCCAGCCCGCGAGCCATCGGCGAAGGGGGCGATACGATTCTGGGCGAGTTTATTCCGCAAGATGTAAGCTCCTTCCCGCGGTGTCTTGTTCATGGTGTTATGGGAGGTTGTGTGTGCGCTGACTTTGGGAATCGCGTGTTCTAGACTGTGGTGGATGTCTGGCACTGGTCTGTCTACCATAACCCCGACCACTTTGCTTTGCCGGAGGAATTCATCCCCGAGCGATTCTTGGGTGACCCGCGATTTGCGAATGATGCGAAGCAGGCTCTGCAACCGTTTTCCATCGGTCCTCGCAATTGCATTGGGAAGAAGTAAGTAGCTCTCAAGACGTGCTTCATGGCGCACACGATGGAGTCGAAACCGTTGGAGATCCCCGCTGACAGATGATTATCTAGTCTTGCCTATGCCGAGATGAGGTTGATTCTCGCAAGACTGATCTGGAACTTCGATATCCGCCCAGCTGCGGAGACGGCGAACTGGTACGCCGAGACAAAAGTCTACATTCTATGGGAGAAGGGCGGCCTGGATGTTCAGCTGACCCCTCGGGTCTTGAAAGCTGAATGAGAGGTGTCCGATATCGCGGTCATGCGTCTTGAAAGAGAGAGAGGGATGGGAGGCCTATGTGCAAGTATAGCGTTGATCAATCTGTGCATCCATGGAGTTGGCAAGTCCGGTCGAAGGAATCACAAGGGATAGAGCACCTTCAACGAGTCGCATCTCAAACATCGCCGACCATCCTGAGGATCGAGAATGATTGTCCTCTCGGGACAACTAGTTGAATCAGATCCTCAAAACAGAGCCTATCTCTCATCATACACTCAACATCTATAGTGACAGAAGTAATCAGCAGCTCAAGGCAGCACTTTGGTCACGTAAGGTACCTTGGCCGGTTGTTGTTGGAGGTTTCTGTGACTTCTGGTAGCTCCGGAATTGATCCGGACTCATCTCCGCTCCGGCAGGCAGCTCCTCCATCTGTGCTCTTCCATTGGTCTGTTCCCAGAGCTCCA